GGACGGCCATGGTGCTGAGCTGTGTAGTTCGTGGCTTCTGTGGCATTTGTTCCTCACTGACCATTCTTAAGAACTTGGAGACTCTTGCCCAATCACCATGGCAGCTGGAATTGGCATCCTCCTTCAGTAAAACCCATGGCTGAAAGGAGACCACTCCAGCACAGTTGAAGGAGAGATGACCTCCAGGGGTAGAGAGAGATGTGTGGTGCTGTTTCCTTTCCTACGGGAACAGCCTCGTCACAAAGTGTTGTCCTAAGCTGGCCCCTTCCTCTCTGCTGTCACAGGATGAGTCTGGGTGGATCTGAAGTCAGTTCGTTCCAGGACTTTGGGGGTTTAAAGGAGCCAAATGCCATGCTCCTGCAACGGGGCATAGCTCTGCATCTTTTATGCTTATGTTCTCATGAAAACAACATAAAAAGGGGCAGACAGGAGAATCTGAGCCCTGCAATTTTCAGATGTATTGCATGAGAGTTTGTCAGTTTCTTTTCTAAGAAACCCCCACCCCCATTACTCCAGATCTGGCCAAATCTCTTCTCTTCCGATGTGCACTTTGCTCCTGGCCCTCGTGGTGTTATGTGCACATGTGTAGCCTGAAGGTAAACTTCTCCATTTTCATCAGCTTTGTGTTTCCGTCGTTTCCCACACCGGAAGCCTGGAAGAAGTCTATGGGCTTCCACTAGCCGATGAAGTGCTAGTCCCTACTTGTTCTGTCACAGCTGTTCTGGACCCCATCTGCCACCTAATTTCCCAAGGATATAAGTACGAGAGAGAAGAGAAAGGTCGCATGACAGAGTATGCTTAACTCCATCCCAGACTGGGAAAATAACAAGTTCCTGATGCTGTGTAAGCATCATTTCCTACCTGCTAGGGGTCCAGGCTCCAGTAATTTCTACAACTACACAGACCACCATAGAAAGCCCATGTTGGGGTCCAAGGTGCAGAGATCCCTCCTGCAAGGCCAAGTGGAAAGGATCAATGGGCTAAGAACCCTGAAGAGCTCCTGCCAGCTGCTCCCCACAGCTGTGAGGACTCCACACCAAGCCAGAGCCATGCCCTGTCTCACTTTATGCCTGGCCTGTGTCAGGAGCAAAAGAGAGGGTGGCAACCTGGACCCCCATCTTCTCTGTACCTTGGACTCTCCTGAGACTATGTCCTCATGGATCTGTGTGACCGGAGCGTGTTCATTTTATACTGAAATGCCCCAGGAAGAGCCCCCCCCCCAGTCTTGCAGTGTGTGTGTTGTGTGGCTGTTCCTTACCTGAAAGGGTTTCTTCTAGCTGTGTAACAAGTGACTTCGCCTTCCCATCTGGGGAAGGCCTATCTATTCATGACTGTGTTCACTTTGGTCAACTAGGAGTATTGTGGCCTGCCATCTGATAGCTTGGTCACCGGGTACCTCCAAACGACCCCAGTAGACCATAGTGGTGATACTCTTGTCACTCACCCTTTTTGCACAGACACCTTGCCCCTTCATTGATTTGCACACAGCAGGTGTCTGTGTGCATTTATTGAGCTAACTAGAACAGACATGGAGATAGACTTCCTTTTCCTAACTACAGTTGGCCCACGGAACAAAAAATAACTGAATGGAAAGCTTGGCAAAGTGAAGGCAGAGAAGGGAAGACAGCTCAATGAGTCAGGTGACCCAGTCTTTGACCTGGCCCGGCCAGCCTCGTCACCCTGGCTTTCTGTCAGGAAGTTGGAGAGACTAAAAACACTTCAAGGAGAGTCTAAAGCACTGGCACAAACATGCTGCTACTTCCTTTGTAAGTTTATAGAAAGAAAGTGTGAGCATTTAGTAAATCTTAGTCAGCAGGGCCGCCCGTCGCCCCGGTAAGCTGCCCAACGCCCGGGTGAGCTAGCTGTAATATTCTGTTGTTTTCTCACAGGTACGAGCTGGGAGCTGCTCTCTTCATTGGATGGGCAGGAGCCTCTCTCTGCATCATTGGTGGGGTCATATTTTGCTTTTCAATATCTGACAACAACAAAACACCCAGGTAGGAAAGAGAGAGAAACACCCTGTTAAAAATGCCCTACACCTGTGGCTCTCGACCCTCCTAACACCTCGGCCCTTTAACACACTTCCTCAAGTTCTCTGGACCCCCACACACACCCAGAAAATCATCCCATTGCTAATTCACAAGTGTAATTTTGTTACTGTTTATGAATCATAAATATTTTTGGAGATAGAGGCTTGCCAAAGGTTGAGAACCCCTCAGTATCTTACTCTAAATCATTACATTTGGGGCAATTTGTGTGACTCTTGGAAATCGGAAGTAACCATGGAAATTTGTTAGGGACAGTTATTATTTTTGAAGACCTCACTGCTGTGTTCTAAAGCTTGGCCAAGTCCAAGTGTCAAAGCCTGTTTTCCATGCTGACTTCCCTGTTAATTTTCACATAGGCAGGAATCAATGAAGGTCTCTACTAAACCTTCTCAGTTTCAGGAAAATGAGCATTAAAAAGTAGTTTTGAGAAAGGATATTAGGACAGATAAGTCCCGAGTTCCCTGTGTGATGGAAGAGATTCTTCCATCACACAGGCTTCGTGGACTGAGGGACGAGAGCTAACCCAAGGAGGAGTTAACTCTTAGCCACAGGCAGCAATGGTTCAGTCATTTCTCCTTTGCCCTGTTGTGTAGAGCAGAATCAACCCAAGTATGTTTTACCTTTCAGAATGGGCTACACATACAACGGACCCACATCTGTCATGTCTTCTCGGACCAAGTATCAAGGTGGAGAAGGAGATTTTAAAACCACAAGCCCTTCAAAACAGTTTGATAAAAACGCTTATGTCTAAAAGACCTCCTGGCAAGCCACATCTTGAGTTTGTCATGAACTGTTCACACAACGATCCTTCCAAGGCCATTCCTGTACCTACCGACCACTTCAGCTTGTTTTTTTTTTTTTGTTTGTTTTTTGTTTTTTTTTTAAATATGAATTTGAAGACTGTTGATTGGACAGATGTAAATGTTCTTTTGGTTATATGCTAATCATTTTCTGTTGTGCCTTTCTCTAGGGAAAATAAACAGGTTATCTACAGGATCTGTGTATTTCATACACATGGACGCTCTTAGTCCAAAGGCTCAGGAAATGTTGGGGTGACAGTCATTTTGTCTTTAGTATGCTGAGAGAGCGTCCTTCCTTTCATCCACACATGAGACAGGTATGGGGATAGTTAGAGACTATTCGTCATCAGGAGTCCAAGTTAAACAGCCGAATTATCATCTGCCATGTAGAGTTGCCTTCTAGTTTTTAGAGCTGTCTGTCAGGACTGTCATGCATGATGACGGCTCAAGAGAGGGCTAAGGAGGCCAAGGTCTCATTGCCCTTTACTCGGATCATAGACCACATAGGTTTTTCTGACACCGAAGGCTCAACAGGTGATCTGGGCCCTGGTGGTGGTTGTATCTAAAGCCAGCTAAGGAAGTCCTAGGGTCTGTGTGGTGCCTGATGCTCTCATTTCCTGTGCCTCATGGGTCCTTCACACGGCACTCAGCAGGTCACTGAGACACTGGCTGTTTTTCAAGATGTGGAACAATGCTGCAGATTTATTCCTGAGGCTGGCCCTGCATATCACTTACCCACAAAGGCAGTGATTGTTCCCACTGCCACACAGCTTCTGTGCCCCAGCTCATTTACACTTACAACACCCTTGATTGTAGGGAGTTTCGTTTTCCTACATATACAGAGAAGAGTAAATGGAGAGTTGGCGTGAGGAGCACTTTAGCAACAGGGCCGGGAGAGAAGCTGGGGTGGTCTAGGGTAAAATATGTATGGTTTCCAGTTGTGAGAATGGGTACCTGTGTCAAGGGCTACAAATTGTCCAGGACGAATCACATGTGTGACGACATGACTTTCCTGAGGAAGGAATGACTGAAAAGGAAAAGCCACATTGTTTGCAGGTACTCAATGGAAAGAAAAAGAAATTTTAAGAGTGTTTTTTTAAAAGTACAATTAAAAAATTTCAAATGCCATACCTTGTTAATACTTGATTTTTTTTTTTTTTTCATAAAGGTGGGTTAAGCACCACAGACAGGTGTGGAAACAGTGCTGTGTGGGCATACATTTAAAATGATTGCTTCTCTTCAGCTGGACTGCTGAAGACAGAAGTTAGATAGGTTGTAGGAAGAGCAGGGGATGGGTTCAGAGGGTATGGGGGGCATATAAGGTTTGTCTACAGAGGAAAGAATACATCAAACAGAATGGAGAAAAGAAAAAACCTCAACAGGTAAGTTAAAGGGTTGAGTTTTGTGACCTACATTTACCAACTTAATTCCTATACTGGCTTTGAGCAGAGTCCCAGAAATCAAAGCGCAGCACAGAACCTGGAGCAGGCTTCCTTTAAATTAAGCCGCTCTTGTTACTTTCCGGTTGTGTGTCCTTTGACAAGAGCCTCAATACCTCTTGATCTCTAGGGTCTTCATGATTGTAAAAAGAGCACATCTCAAAATTCTAACCGAATGAAGGCCTAAATCACACCCAGAACAGAAGCAAGCGAAGCCCAATGGCTAAGGCTGGGCGTGGTGGCACATGTCTTTAATCTCAGCTCTTAGGAGGTAGAGGCAGGTGAATCTCTGAGTTCAAGGCCAGGCTGGTCTATAGCAGGCTGAGTTCCAAGTCAGCCAGGGCTACATAGTTGAGACTTTCTTGGAAAGCGAAATAAAGAAAGGAACAAAGAGATTCATGGGCCTCATTAAAACCTGCAGTGGAAGTGAGCAATGGCAGGTTGTTCATCTCTGTCACACCATCGCCCTCTGACTGTCACTTACCAAAGCTTGCAGAAGTCTACATACAAAGTGACAGCTTATGTGCACACAATGGCCCCTGTGGGAAGGGGGGAGGATTTTGTTTTCATGGCTTGGAATGGGCACACATAGGTTTTGGGATGGTAGCCACAGAGATTTATCCCAAAGTCAGGGTGTTAGAAGCCATGGCTTTGTGCAAGCCCCTTCATAAATGTAACCGAGGAGTCATCTCCAATAAGCAACCACAGTCACGGGATGTAATGGAGGACTTTACTGGCACTGTTGATGGATGACAGGAGACCCCAAATCAACAAGCTATTAAAATGCTACCTCTTCCTTTTTTTATACCACAATGTATTAAAAAAAAGTATTTTTAAAAAAGGAAAAAAAAAAGAAACCAACAGTTTATATATAAATTTTCTGAGCATTGCCGAGATCGTTGTTCAAGAATATAAGTTATTTCTGAGGTATTTTATAGTGGGCTGGGTCCTGGGAGCCAGAGAAACTACACACACGTGTGACTCGGGAACGGCTGGTCTTTTTCTAGTGATCCTCTCATAAAAACCAGTTGGCATTTACAATGGTTGCATATCATTCATGGAATATCCAAGATAAAGATTACACTGCAGAAAATAATGTGTCAGTCACAACATGCTAGTAGGGCCTCGAAGGTCAGTGGGATCAATGGTACTTCAGGAAATGTATTTGCCATGGGCCTAGCTAATTGTTACCATTCTAGACTTAACTGCTATATGGGGAACAACCAGTTTAACTTGTAGTATGTCACTGACATCACTAATTCAAATTTGGAGAGACTTAACAGAATTTTATAACATAAAACTACCAACATAACAGTATATACATATTTTTAAATGCTACAATAATTCAAACCAAAGCCTACTATCAGTTAAAAAAAAAAAACTTAAAAGTTATTTGAAAAAAAAAAAAACAATACATTTAACACTAGAGTACCGTACTGAAGAAAACACTTTTATGACTTAAAGGACATCTTGTTTCTACACAGTGGACCAGCTGACAGCTTTCAATACTGTGTTAGGTGTAGCTAAAGACAAGGAACGGGCTTCCTTGTTAAGGTGGAGAATAGTAAGGAGCATTAGAATCCTATAGGCTGTTGCCCGAAAGGCTGCTGGCTGCTGGCACAGCTCTCTGGCAGGTGGCATTGTAGTTACACATCCAAGACGTCACTCCAGTCAGTCACAGTGACCAGGCTACTTTTCAGAGTGCTTGCTTCCTTTTCTTGAAGTCCTGGACAGACAGCAGGAGGAAGAGAGGGGACCTGTGGTCAAACCGGGGATACCCACAGTCCCCTGACTTCAGAGTCTTTGCTCACGCAGAGTCTGAATCAGCTTAGTATTATCTCTGGTCCCTACAGGCTTTCAGGGAGGCTGCTAGAAAACCCGCCCACACTTCTGGCTCTCCTCACAGGACATGGCCTGTGACCATCCATCCTGACGCCCTTAAGCTCCTGAGCAGCAGGCATCAGGGCCTGTGTCCTGCTTCTCTCCCCTTGCCGTTCACAATGGTGCCTGGATATCGAGTTCTCAACGTGCTGGTGTTGTGTTATTAACTGTGAGCAAACAGAAACTGGGCTGGAAAGGAATGTAAGATACTACACATCAATAGAGTATAGATACAGATTTTTAAATATAGATTTTGCTGGGGTAGGAGAACTTACATTGGAAGCTAGCTAATTAAAAAGATCCATGATCTTGAGCCATGGGTATAGCACACTGTGGAGAACCCCACTCTAGCTGGAATCTAGAATGTTCTCTGAGGGACGCAGGGTCCTGGTGCGGGAGCATCCTCTCAGTTCCGTATAAGGCAAACGTCTCTCAAACACAGTCTTAATCCTCAGCAGAGATATCTTCACAATGGCTATGTTACAGCCACGCTGTCCTGTGACTGTGTGACAGTAAGTGCCCAGCCTGACACACGGGAGGAGGCCACAAAGCTCAGATGCCCAAAGGGGAGAAGAAGACCTGCTGAAGGCAGGAGATGTGACTGTGCAAGCTACAGGCACTGGCGGAGAATTTCAAGTCAGGGCACAGATTCATACGGAGGAACGCACGGGATGCAGGGGGATGGTGGGGAAGACACTGCCCCACCTCAGCAGGAGGACATCAGCAGCTAATATCTGAAGCTGTCAAACCGAGAGGCGTGTTTGAGTCCATTGCTGAGAGGTGGGGGGGAGGGGGATGGCTCACCAGATGCTAAGGATGTTGTTGAGAAACACCATGGAGAAGCCCTCTGCAATCCTCTTTACCATGCACAAGGATTGCTTTGATTTATATGTATGTATGCACGCATATATGTATGCGTGCATGTGTGTGTGTGTGTGTGTGTGTGTGTGTGTGTGTGTGTGTGTGTGTGTGTGTGTGGTGTAATGGGTGTGGAAAACATGAAGATATTCTGAAGAGATACTTGAGACAGTCAATGTGACCATCAGGCTGTTGAAACGAGGGACTTCGAAGAAATGAGAATTCCCCCAGGTGGGAGATGGAAAAGACTCTACCCCAGAATGAGACGTTACCCAGTTCTTACAACAAATCCGTTCATCTTACAGGCTAAGGCTAAACCCCAGGCAATGATGGGTCAGTGGTGGGCTCTTGGCCCTACAAACTTTGACTTGGGGGTGGTCAATGAATGTCATTGTCCTTCTTCCCAGTGCAGCCACATTGAATAAATCTACTTTGTCTGCTGCCAACTGTCAGTTTGCATCTTTTAATTGGCTCATTGGGGATGGGTGGCTGGATCTGATTTGGGACACAAGTTGTGACCACCCAAAATTTGATAAACAGTGGCACACCTGTCATCTTGGTACTCGAGATGCTGATTCAGAGAGACTGAAGGTTCAGGACCAGCCCTGGGTGGTACAGTAACACAGATGAAATCTTGTGTCAAAAAAGCAAGCAAGCAAAGTAAACAAAATATGTATATGCATGCATATGCGTGCATGAGTTCACACACACACACACACACACACACACACACACACACACACACACGCAGGTGCACACACATTATGATTTTGAATTTAGAAACGAGGTCTACCGAGAGTCATGTGACTCGAGAGTTACATGCAGGCTTTTTGGGGGACAGGAAGCATCCCAACTTACAAAGTCATTTGTGATCCATCCCACTGACTACAATGCTATAAGGAAAAAACCCTCCCTTGGGAGAAAACCCAGGAAAGCACTTAAGAGGAAATGAAGGCGTACTGGAAGATTACAAACAGAATCTTCCCATCTATGTATAAGCTCAGAGGGTCTAATTTCTAGGGGCATCTGTATGAAGAGAATATTTGTGTGCACTTTGTGAAAAACAAAATTAAAATATTTAATGAGACAGTGCAGCAAAAAGTAAAACAATTTATATATATGTGAAGTAAGTTATCAATATTCAGATATACCTTATAATAAAAAAGTAACATCAAGATCTTGGTTATAACAATTCTGTCATTTGGTCTCATTTGGTTTTGGCTTTGGCTAAGTGCTCTACATTGAGCTATGACCCTACCCCAGACAGTGCTTCTGTCTGAAGAGTGTAACTAAGAGCAGATATTTATAAAGCTGGAACAGTCTGCGACTGGAGAGCTAGCTTGATTGGTACAGACAGGGCTTGCAGAGCGATCATGAGGGCTTGAATTTGACCACATCTCAGAAAAGCCACGGGTGAGGGCACCCACTGTTTCCCTGGCATTGAGGGAGCAGGAGCAGGACAGACTGGGGAACTCTGGTCAGTCAGCCCAGTCGAGCCTGCCTGGTGAGCACCAGGTCAGTGAGAGACCCTGCCTCAAAACCCAAGGCAGACTGCCTATCAGGAACAATCCCAAGACTGACTTCTGCCTCCACACGTGTGTGCATAAATGTGCACCCACACAAACACACACACATGCACACCACAGAAACACAACCCATCCATACAGGAGAGTGAAAACTGTGAACCTTCTTCCTTGAATTCCCGAGGGTTCACTGGGCCCCAGGCCCTTGGCAATTGACTGGAGCTTAGATCTCTCTTCACAGGTAGAGGCTCCCTCTGTTCCATCCTTTTCTCCAAAGATTTTTCTTCCTCTAAGGATGAGACGTCCCAGTCATCATTATCTACTTCTGCACACTGGAAGGAACACAGAGAGTAACTCGCACATCTTAGAGAAACAGCGCCTCTCGTTCACGGTGTGGCTTAGGCTGAGCAGCTGACATTGAAGGAGAAGGTGGGAACAACACAAGGGACCCAATGGAGGAAACATGGCAGAGCTGTGAAGTGAATTGGAAAGACCACATCTTGAAATTGACAGAAATTGGTTTTTTTCTTTTTCCTGTATCAATTGTGAATCTAGAAAATTCTAGACTACAAGGATTGTAGAGGGAGGAAACTCTAAAAGTCGGGTGAGAGCTCACCCAGGAGCTCTGCAGAATGTCCCTCCCCCAAGGAGCTCTTTTCCATTAAGTCTTGTCCAAAGAGAGCCACCCCGTCTCAGTGACGAAGCATTTACATTCTTTTGTTGTTGTTGTTAACACACAAAAAAGCAGTAACTAAAGAAGAAAGTTCAACAGATTGCTTGAGTCACGTGGATGAGTGGCAGGGGGTGGGGAGTGGTTATGTACAGAACTGAAGAAAATGAATGGCATCAGAGGACTCAGTCTACACAGCAAGCCAGAATGGTAACAGCCGAGCTCTACTCACAAACACCCTGGGCCTTAGAATTGCTCCAGAACCTTCCGGTCCCCTCCACAGATTCTGACTCCCAGGTGAGGACAACCCTTAATAAAAGCCCCTACCTTAATTCCAGGTGTCAGAAAACCCTTGGACTAGTGTGGAGGCCCCAGATTCTAGCTCAATGTATAGCCATGGGCAAAACACTTAATGTCTGCAGGTGTCAGATAACACACATGACAGAATTGTGAAAATCTGTGCAATGTGACATACAAATATCATTGCATTATAGGTTGAACAGCCTTTATCTGCAATGATTGGAGCCAGACGTGTATCAAATTAGATAGGGTCTTGGGCTTGGGAATATTTTCAGACATTTTATTGGATGTGAATAACTCTAAATACACTGAAAATGCCAAATCCAGTAGGCGCCAAAATAAGAAACTTTCTCGTGTGTATGCTTGAGACTCAACCGGGGCCTCCTGCAGCTCAACTAAGCTGCAGCTCAGCTCTCAGTGTTGAAAAGGTTTAGCACTTTGGGGCATTCTAGATTGTTCAAAACATACCTGCTATCAGACAGCAAACCGTCTATGGAATCACTAAATATGCAGTAACTAAGAACAAATCAAGAGGAAGTACCAGCCTTTAGTATATTAACTAATCACAGTTGACTTTTATTCCACAGTAAACACATATTTACTAATTAGCTCATCAAAAGATGAATTAGTTAGCAAGTGGTTTCACCTTGAATTCGTGCAATTCTTCCCTCTTGACAAGTGTCTCAGCAATATTCATTCCAGTGACTAGGTTACTCCCACTTCCTTCGTGTAAAACCATGCTCTCCACATCTTCAGTTTGTATCTTAATGGAGGTTCCTACAGGGGCAATCAAACTGTCAAGAAGAGGGTTTCAAATACTGTGCCACCATCAGCCGCACAGCAGCTCCTGTCAGCTTGGCAGGGGTCTCCACTTCACATGTAACTATTTACCATTGAAAGGGAACTGATATGTTTGGGGTTAAAGAGATGATGGCTCAGGGGTCAACCGGGCCGGCTGCTCCTGCCGATAATTAGGTTCAGTTCCTGGTACCCACTGCACGAAGTTCACAGCCACCTCTAACTCCAGTTCCAGGGGATCTGACACCCTCTTCTGGCCTCTTCTGGTATGTATGCACACACACACACACACACACACACACACACATACAAATGTATACACAGAAAGTTAAGAAAAATTTAAAGCTAAATACTTATAATTCCCTTAAATGAAGAAATCATAATTGCCCAGGGACGAAGCTACATAGTTTTCACTCAAAATAACAGGTCTCATTCAAATATGTGAAATTTAATGGCTTTTTATGAAACAGTGTGAATTATTTTTGAATGCACTCATTATATTTTCCAAATTATATAATTACATCGTGTGTGTGTGTGTGTGTGTGTGTGTGTGTGTGTGTGTGTACACAAATTATGAGTAATATAGTTAAACCGGATACATTTAAAACCTAGGATTTTAAAATTGTACTAAAGCAATCTATGGTAAAAGACAATCTATTGACTCTACTTCCTTTTGAAAGTTATCAGAAATCTCACACAGGAGGTTTGTCTCTCTTTGAAATCACGCTGTCAAAAGCATGGTACATTAGGACAGCGTTCTCAGTCATCCAAGGCTGATGGACTGAAGTTTGCTTCAGATTCACAAGCTGAGGCTCTCACCCCGCCCGCCCCGCGGTAATTCAGTTAAAGTGATGTCATTAAGAGTTGTCCCATGTGGACGGGGAGATGGGTCAGTCAGTAAAGTGCTTGCACACAGCCATGAGGACCTGAGTTCAATCCCCGGAACCCACATAAAAAGCCAGGTGTGCTGGCATGTGCGCATAATCACAGTGCTGGGTGAGATGGAGACAAGAACATTCCCGGAGCTCAGTATCCAGCTACTCTTGTCAGTCAGTGAGCTCTGGGTTAAATAAGACACCCTGTCAAAAACAAAAAGAGATGCCCAACATTGAACTCTGTCCTTCATACGTGTGTACAAATGTGTGTGTGCAACCACACATACACACACACACACACACACACACACACACACACACACACGTGCACTACATATGCATGCACATGCACCACACACATGTACCACACACACACACACACATGCATCACACATTGAACACACACATGCACCACACACACAGGAAACACACACGCATACATACACACATTGAACACACATGCAGCACACACACACATACACCAAACACAGACAGGAACTTCACACACACATATATATGCCCCACATGCGCGCGCACACACACACACACACACTCACTCACGTAATTGAAAGAGTGGCCCGTGATCTATGTGAGCAGTCCTTATAACCCTGGAAGCAGAGCTGAGATGAGCTGGGGGAGGTGATATGAAGAGACAGGGAGAGGAGTGCCACCCCGAGAAACAGGCGTCGTTGTGTCAGGCCCTCAGCTCACCCGTTGGATTCTGCGGCTGAGGAAAGCTGTGCCCTTGAGCATCCTCAACTAGCTCCTCCCCTCTTTGTGCAGACAGTGGCTCTCTGGTGGCTCTGGGATGAGCCCTCAGTCCTCACACAGCTCAGAAGCCAGTGCTCGGTGCCCCTGGGTGTGGAGCAGGGTTTCCCGAGAGCAAGGCTCACCTGAGGGCTTGGGGGAAACATCCGAGTCCTCCATTTCACTGCCCTCTGTCCAGTCCGTGTCGCTTCTGACAGAGCTCTTTCTAAGGTTACTCATACTGTTTTTACACGGCTGCAGGGTCATCAGGTCTGAAGAAACGTACGCCTGGATCAAGTCCTCTTCTTCCGGCTCCTCCTCTGAGCTGAAGGGAGGCGTCCTGTGTAGGTCAAAACCAAAATGGGGTGCATGGGTGCTGTGTCCTCATTCCAGAATGTACTAACCAGGCGTGTCTGTCTACTCTCTTTCCCTTTAAAAATCAGTTCTTTCACTAGGCGCGTAATTGGCTTCATTCTGAATTTTCACACATACTTTAGTTTTTAGTGTTGCTCTCTCCCCCCTCCTCCCCTCAATCCCCTGCCCCCCTCTTCCCTGCAGTAGGCTGTTTTCTTCTGCTTTCATGTCACATATATCCTGTCCACCTCTTTTTATTTCTCTTTTTCTCTCTCTGCAATATTCCTTAGCACCTCTTTTCCCCAGTCATGGACTCCTCTAGTTTTATGACTGATATATCACCCTCCCCCCCACACACACACAGAGATACACACAATTACGTAAGAGTTAAAAACCCAGGACCTACGTATGAGGGAAAACATTCAATATTTGTCTTTCTGAGTATGGGATATTTTGCTTCAGAGTAATTAATCATTTTCCTGAATCCAATGGCACTGTGTACATGTCCCACACATGTGTCTCTTGATGGACATTGCTAGCCATGTGAACAGTGAAGAGAGAGCCATGTCTGTGTGGACATCTCTGTGGCGGCTCAGAGTCCTTTGGACATCTGTGTGGACATCTCTGTGGTGGCACTCAGAGTCCTTTGGGTACGTGCCTAGAAGTGGGATGACTGGGTCCAATGGAGGTTCTGTTTTTTAGCTTCTCGAGAATCCTCTATATCGATTTTATGTGCCTGTCTTTTAAAGTGACATGGACCCCTGAGGTAATTCAATAAAGGGAACTCCCCTGGACCCACAAGACAAGGAGGCAGTGAAGCCAGCATGGTGCGCATAACTGAGGAGTCACTCCAGACCAGTTCTGATGCAGGGTCAGTAATACGGACTGAGGTTCCCCTAAGCTCAGATGTGTACCGTTTTGGTATTCTTAGCTTCAGGAAAACATTTCTCAGTGAATGAAAACATACCTACACTCAGACTACTCCATCTTTAAAAAGCTGTTACTTCTGACTCATGGACTGCTGCCCCAACCTCAGAGCAGCATTTGTGATTTGAGGAACATTCAGAGAAAGTGGTAATGCCTGTGCACACTTGTTCGGTCACACACATCCCATGAGAGGAAGCTCTTCCCATGAGGTTTGCGCGTGCAAAGATGAACCATTGTTTATCTCTACTTTATGTCACCCAGACTTGGGCAACGGCAATGACATCACTAAGAGAAAATAAGGATCATTCAGAACTAATGACAAAAATATACAGGTAACTTATTGAGTGCTCTCAAGAGCCAAGACCCTTTTATATGTTCTCATTTAATCTGTAAAATGATTCTAAGCCAGGGATGGCATTCCACGCCATGAATCACAGTAATTAGGAGGCAGGAGCATCTCTGTGACTTCAAGCACACCATAGTCAGAGACTGAGTTCCAGGGCAGCCAGAGCCACATAGTAAGACCTCTTCTAAAAAAGAAAACAAACCAACACCAAAAAATATTCTGGGCTGGGATATTCCAGCCCCCACAGAGTGCAGAGAGTGCAGAGGTGAGCTGCTTTGGCCCCTGCCTTTGGCCCAATTTCCGCCTGCCCACCCAGGCAAATCGCGCCCGGGGTCTGCAGACAGGACAGCTGGAACCCTGAAGACCAGACAACCCAGAGTCTGCTGACATCTCTGCACCAGTGCTGCACTCACCCACCTGGAGATCGAGTGCCTTGGACCTGCCTGTACCCAAGCTGAGACCTATCAGGATATCGGAGCCAATTGCACCCACCTGAAGAGAACACCGGTCCCATACACACCAGGAAAGGAAGTGACACCACCTGTACCCACTGGAAGAAGAGATGGGAAGACGACAATATAAGAAAACACCCAACAACAGGAAAACCAATATGACACCACCAGAGGCTAGGGACTCTACACCAGCAAGACATGAACATCCCAACACAGAAGAAGCAGAAGAGAGCAACCTTAAAAACAACTTCATGCAGATGATAGAGAACCTAAAATAGGAAATCAGAAAATCCTTCAGAGAAATGGAAGAAAAGACAAACCAAAAGATGCAAGAAATCAAAGAAAGCCAAGAAAATACAAATAACAGCTGAAGGAAACAGTTCAGGACCTGAAAAACTAATTAGAGACAATAAAGAAAACACAGACTGAGGGAGTGCTGGAAGTGGAAAAGCTTAGTAAACAATCAGAAACCACAGATGCAAGCATAACCAATAGAATACAAGAGATGGAAGACAGAAT